TTTCCACCTCTCCCTCTATTCCAACCTCTCTCTATCTTTTTTCCACCACTCTCTCTTTTTTCACATCTCTCTCTTTCCAACTCACCCTCTCTCTCTCTCTCTTTTCACTTCTCTCTTTCCACCTCTATATGATTTTAAAATATTTTTTTGTTTATACAGTATTTTATTTCAACTTTCTTTCAAACAGATAATATTTTAATGTTGAAATCAAATTCATTGTTTTATAACCTGAGCTGTCAGTGACCCAACGGGTCACGGATAGTCTAGTATATATATCGTGGACTCTCCTATCGTGAACGATGAATGAAGGTCAGCATTGGAAGGTGCCTTTCGTTTTATACTTATGCATGCTAACATGGACTATTGTGGAGAAAATCAGGTAAGTGCAAGACAAGTATCATTTGTGCTTTCGTAAGTGTGATACTAACCCAGCCTGTCTACGGGCGACAAAGCCACACTGACAGATGAAATTTGTTAAAGCAGGATTTTGATAGTTTCTCTGCTTCAGAGCTTGATGAAGCTGATCACGGGGATTCAGTCTAATGTCTTCAAAACTCTTTAACTTAATTACAACATAAATCTATGTCTTACGCCACTCCTTTCGGTTTGATGCTTGGGTTTCCCAGGTTTTTAGATCAAAGTTGAGACGTTTCAAGTTCTCTTTTAATTTGTCTTTGTAGAATAAGAGTGCATGTCCAAATGAACGCTTTGAGTTTGGTAGTTGTCATTACAGCACCTTTTTTGGAAGCCTTTGCTCAGCCATTCTCACAACATGACCAGCCCACCAAAGTTGTATCTTTGATAGAATGGTTTCAATACCTGTGATGTTGTTACATTTCTTCAGTATTGCACTATTCATGACCCTGTCATCCTATTTTATATCACATATGGCATGAATAGAGCGCATGTGAATGGCATCAAGTTGATTTATGTACTTGCAGTATAGGGTCCGAGTTTCAGCACCACAGAGAAGGGCTGAGGAGAACGACTGATCTATGCCAGTCTTTACTCTGAGAGACACGTTTTCGGTGTCCCATAACATATGTTTAAGTTTACCGAAGGCTGTCCTGTCGTTGGCTAGTCTAGATTTGGATTTCTCTGTCCATTTTTGCGAAAGAAGGAACTGTTGATCCAAGATATGTGAATGCCTCAATAGATTTTAATGCCATACCATCAACGAAGACGGAGGGGTTTGTGAGAGATGGATTGGCTGTTACTGGCTGGTACATTAGCTTAGTATTCTAGCACACACACACACACACACACACACATACTATACACGTACACGCAGGCACACACACACATATATATATATATATATATATATATATATATATATGTATATGTGTATATATGAGAGATGAGAAAGTAATAGATAATGGTTAATTATAATAGGAAGAAATGGCCAACAAACAGAATTGACAAAGTTTGAAATAAACAATAATGAAAGAAAGAAAAGAAAAGAGGGAAAAAATAATATTGAGCAAGCAAAGAATATATGTAAGGCAAATAAACAGAAATAAGGCAAAACATTCGCAAACGAAGCTCGGTGTTAAATAAATAAAATGGCTACTGACAAACGATTGCAGCGTTCTGACTTAAAGACGAGAAAGAATAAAATATGGTCGATGGGATCAAGAAGTGGCCTATCTTATTGGCTAGGAATAAATCCGAGTATGCATCTCTGTGTTTTTCTCTATAAATTTGGGGAAGGGATGATGTTATTGCAGTCATTCTTAACAGAGTTGGAACCAACAACCTACGTATATGTAGACATGTTAAGAGAGAAAATGTGCAAGAGAATGGGGGGAAAAGACAGAAGCAAATGCCAACTATGTATGTATGTATGTATGTATGCATGTATAGATAGATAGATAGATAGATAGATAGATAGATAGATAGATAGATAGATATGAAAGAACACACTAAGATAGATAGATAGATAGATAGATAGATAGATAGATAGATATGAAAGAACACACTAATATAGATAGCTAGATAGATAGATATACACATGAACAGACTGAGAAAGATACATAGAGATAGATAGATAGATATTAAAGAACACACTAAGATATATATATATATATATATATATATATATATATATATATATATATATATAGATAGATAGATAGATAGATAGATAGATAGATAGATATTAAAGAACAGACTAAGATAGATAGATAGATAGATAGATAGATAGATAGATAGATAGATAGATAGATATACACATGAACGGACTGAGAAAGATACATAGACATAGATATGAATAGACTTAGATAGATAGATAGATAGATAGATAGATAGATAGATAGATAGATAGATAGATAGATGAACACACTTATATAGATTAATAGAAAGATAGATGTACATATGATCAAACTGAGAAAGATAGATACCTAGATATACATAGGAACAGACTTACATAGATAGATATATGAACAGACATAGATAGATAGATAGATAGATAGATAGATAGATAGATACAAAGAGACATGGATAGATGTGAATGGAGTAGGATATATATATATATATATATATATATATATATATATATATATATATATATATATATATATATAGTAATCCATCCGTTGGTATATAATCCGGGTGGTCTCTAGTAATATTAATTATTAAAATTGATCCACAGAGAGCTCGCTGTTTTTATTTCAAGAGTACATATGCATTTTTTTAGTAAAACCCTCCAAAATTACCTCAATGTTGATTTAATTTTTGATATATATATATATATATATATATATATATATATATATATATATATATATATATTGAATAAAAACAGACCACGTTAAGATTCCATGTAATAAGCTATTTCACCATAACAGGGTTCCGGATCATCAGACTTTACTTCCAAAAGTTGAAATGAAAAATTTTTTCATTTCAGCTTTAAAGGGTTATGGTGAAATAGCTTATTACATGGAATCTTAACGTGGTCTGTTTTTTCAAATTATATATATATATATATATATATATATATATATATATATATATATATATAGAGAGAGAGAGAGAGAGAGAGATATGAATAAACTTAGATATATAGACATATAAACAGACTTAGATAGATAGATAGATAGATAGATAGATAGATAGATAGATAATTTATCTATCGAATCGGATAGATAGATTGAGAGACAGGTACGTTTTACGATGAAGATGTCTGATTTAAAATCCTACTTCGATCGCACTATCGATTTGTACATAATCAGACAGATTTATCGGTAAATATGCACATTTTATGATAGAGAGAATTAAAATCTACAAATGTGGGGGGGTATTTGATTAACAAGCGGAAACGAACGAACCTAATCTACACAATTTCAGCTTTTATTATGCAAGTCAATATTTTCGTAATAAATCTTGATGTTTGCATAAATTTAAGGGTACATTTATATTTATTTTAAGGAATTAATGAATTTTTATCAGTTCTGATATTATTTCTTTTATTTTTCTAATACACACTTCAAAATACGAGGTTGGATTAAAAAAAAAAGTATATAGGCTGGTACTATGAAAATAACTACAACAAATATCTATTCTGCATTTAATCTACTATGAAGTAGCCCCCTTTCTGAAGCCAAGCGTTTTCGATTGATAGAAGACTTCCTAGACATCGGATTTACAGAGAGCGAACAGCTGACTCGTCGGATTCTCTTGAATGTATTCGGCGCCTTGAAATCTTTTATTCTTTCAAGAGAATTTGGTTTTTGAATAGAAAAAAAAAGGAGCTAGAATTGTGGAATATGGGGATTTTCGGACCTGGTGAATGTTGTGCTTGGCCAAAAACAGCTTCACAAGCCATGGTCACTAATAGAACCATTTATAAGTTCCGGAGACAAATACACTGTACACGTTTTCATTCCGATTATTGCTACAAATATAGGAATCGGACACATATTTTATAACTTGGTGTGTATGTGTAACAGAGTTCAAGATCAATCTGTGCTTTCAATCTGCGCAATTTAGCTCAGCTACAATAGGATTTCTCCTAATACATTTTTTATCAAACCTCATACGCCACCCCACACGTGGAGAAAGATACTTTATAGTCAATGATGCTGACATTTAACCTTGGATGCTAATATCAAATATAAGCTACCTTTCTTCTATATGGAATCATATAAATTGTGTATTATATATATATATATATATATATATATATATATATATATATATATATATATATATATATTTATATTTGTAGTGGCCAGTTTGATTTGTAGTGGCCTTTAAATCAAATAAATAAAAGTAGCAGCTCTAAAATAACATTAATATCAGCAGCAGCTCTCGAATATAAAAACACGTAAACCCTAAAGTAACCCCTCTCTCTCTTCTGGGGTTTCCTCTTTCGAACAGCTAACACGAACTTTCAGATCTGAAGCTAAAATGGCTGTGAACACTCCCACACTAAAACACACTATTATAGTAAGTCCCACTCAAACATATTAATGAACATTTCGTTGTGTATGCAATTTACTTCTAACAAAAGGAACAATTGTTTTCAACTTTCCTTTTGTTAATTTTGTTTTAATAATTATTATCTTTGAATTGCAAATCAGTTGGTCACTTATTTTTGCATGTACTCATTTTCACCGCCATTTTTCATGTACTCTAAACTATTCTCCCAAGAAACGTTACAAATTTAATTATTTAAAGAGCGTTCTAAATGATGTCACCTTGTGTGAGGTGAAATTGATTCCAGCCACCGAAGGAAAGACAGAAACAGTAACAAACACTAAAGCGAAATCTTTCTTTTTAAATCATTCCAAACTTCCTTAGGCAATGAAACTACTAAGACGCAAGGGTTTACTAACTGTGAGAAAATACGAGGAAAAAAACATTATTACGAAGAGAGAACAATAAAAGAACAGCAATTAAGTTGACAAATTCTCGGTGTCAGTATTTATATATTTGAACGTTTCCAAGTCTTCTTCTGGGGTGATGTGTTCATCTTCACAACAGAAACAGACACCCTCTCCATTAGTCGTTCTACATAAAAAGACTGGCAATAATTTTCACTTAAAGAATATTTTTTTTTACTTAAAAGAGAACTTAATTTACATAGTGTTATGGTCCGATTCCTTGTACCACGGTGATAGTCCAAGGTAGAACCAATAAAGAAGAACTCGAACACGGATATGGAATAACACAGATATATTACAAACAGGAATATATACAGAGAAGTAGAAAGTGTTAGTACGAACAATCAGGTTAAGTAGAGAGAACAATGTAGTCTCGACCAGTATCACTATTCCAATGTCTTGCAGTAATTGTCTGAACGCGACTCTGTTTCGGACTGCCTCTGACTCGACTCTTGACTCGAACTACTGACTCGACTTGAACTACTGACTCACTTGAACGACTGACGATATTCAGTCACCCACCCCTAACTGGGGCAGCATGTGAAACATGGCCGGTTATTTAATGTGGGTTCTCCGCGCCCGTGGGCTCGGCCCAAAAATATGCCCATTGAACCCATATAAACGGGTTCATGGCCGGTTTACGTTCCCGAAAGAGACTCCGCCCCTCGGCGTAGCGTCGTTCGGGTTCCTCCCCGCCCGATGGCAGAGAGTTCAAACGAACAGTCGGTTCAGAAGTGAACGACTGACGATATTCAATCAACCCCACCACGAGGGCGTCATGTGGCACAAGGCCTTTTTAACGTGGGCTCTCCGAGCCCGTGGGCTCGGCCAAAAATATGCCCATTGAACCCGTATAAACGGGTTCAGGGTCGGTTTACCTCCCCGAAAGAGAATCCGCTCTTCCGCGTAGCCTTCTTCGGGTTGCTCCCCGCCCGAAGGCAGAGAGTTCAATCGATCAGCCGGTTCAGAAGTGAACTACTGACGATATTCAGTTACCCCCCGCCCCCACGAGGGTGTCATGTGGCACAAGACCTTTTAACGTGGGCATTCCCAAGCCATTAGGCTCGGCCAAAAAATAGCCCATTTGAACCCGTATAAACGGGTTCAGGGCCGGTTTTACCTCCCCGAAGGAGACTCCGCCCTTCGGCGTAGCCTTCTTCGGGTTCCTCTCCGTCCGTAGACAGAGAGTTCAACCGAACAGTCTGTTCAAAAGTGAACTACTGACGATATTCAGTCACCCCCCCCCACAAGGGTGTCATGTGGCACAAGGCCTTTTAACGTGGGCATTCCCGGGCCATTAGGCTCGGCCAAAATAGCCCATTTGAACCCGTATAAACGGGTTCTGGGCCGGTTTTACCTCCCCGAAGGAGACTCCGCCCTTCGGCGTTCGGGTTCCTCCCCCCGTAGGAAGAGAGTACAACCGAACAGTCGGTTCAAAAAGTGAACGACTGAGATATTCAGTCACCCCCCACGAGGGTGTCATGCGGCACAAGGCCTTTTTAACGTGGGCATTCCCGAGCCATTAGGCTCAGCCAAAAAATAGCCATTTGAACCCGTATAAACGGGTTCTGGGCCGGTTTAACCTCCCTGAAGGAAACTCCGCCCTTCGTAGCGTCCTTCGGGTTCCTCCCCGCCCGTAGGAAGAGTTGAACCGAACAGTCGGTTCAAAAGTGAACGACTGACCCCTTGCCTACTCCTGAGGCGCAGTATTTATTAAGTATGGAATAGTCTATTATTATTATTATGGGTAAGACCCCAGAACACTCAGACAATTAAATTTCATAAACGAGAAATAATTTCTGAGTCTTCCACGGTAAGTTTTACGTCCAGGTTCGTTCAAGACTTCATTTTAATTAACAAAAGAGCAAGACCAGGCCGGAGTACTGTTGTCATATTTGAGCGTGAGCTGCCTGGTCCACACTTTCCCATCTTGATAGAGTCCAAAAGCGTTTCCGAGTCCCTGTTGGAGAAGAATTATTTTCCACCCTCCAGCCTCTCCCACGCAGGCGGGATATGGTGAGCCTCTCACTGCCCTACCGCTACTCCTATGGAAAGTTATCGGACGACCAACTATATTCCTTTTTTTCCCCTAGTTCCAACCTTTCCGACTAGGAACCGCTATGCTATTTACATCGTATCAAATCACATAGCCCCCGTATTCGACCGGGGAGAAGTAAGTCCCACTCGAGCAGCTTCTTTCCGCGAAGATCCCTTGTGAAACATCTCTTTTCCAGATCACTGCAATTTTAACCTGATCATGTCTAGAGTTAATCTTTATCATTTCCCCACTCTCTATAGAAATTAGCCCTTAACAAAACCATTCAACACGAGTGGTCAGGAATGAATACAAGCGTTACTGATAGAATAGGGCTATTATATGTAGAATGGAAAGCATTGCTAATGATTTTACTATAGGAATGCATTGAAAGTCAGGAAGAAAGGGATTGTCAGAGGTCAGGAATGAATACAAGCATTACTGATAGAATAGGACTATTATATGTAGAATAGAAAGGCATTGCTAATGATTTTAATATAAGGAATGCATTGAAAAACAAGAAGAAAGGGATTGTCAGTGGTCAGGAATGAATGCAAGCATTACTCATAGAATAGGGCT